CTCCGGGAAGGCGGGTGGGGGGTTATGCCGGTGGGGAGGGAAATGCCCCTTTTCTGCCAGCCGTCGGGTGGCGCGGGGACAGCTCGCTCCGGCTGTGGCCGCGGCGGCTACGCGCTGGGCGGTGGGTTTTTGCACAAATACTGTTTGCGGTAAGGGCTTGGCTGCTCACCCGGGCTGGGAGAGGGATGCTGTCTCTTGGGCCAAGCCTTGCTAGTCAGGCTCCGGTGAGGCTGGCGACGTCAGCGCCACCGGCAGACTGTCCCCTCGGGGGCTGCTGCGCTGGGGCGAAAAGAGCCTTCCCGAGCTCCTTTTGCTCCGTGTATGTGCGGATTACCCCATACAATCCCTGAGCAGCGGTTACTAGAAAACATGTCATGTGAAATAATAAATCTTGATTTTCTTTTTTTTTAAAGAAGCAGGTGAAGAAAAATATGCAGGTAGACCATACTTTAAAACGGACCTAAAATGTGTTTCTGCCTCAGAAAGACCAGACAAGAGGGCTGATAATTAAAAGGACAGTAGACCTGGAAGTCTGTCTGTGGGGAGGATCAGCTCCAAAAGTCAAAATGAGGTCACCTGAAAAAGGAATTTGTATGATGCCTTTGGGGAAATGGACTGAATGCTTGGCAAGGGAGAGCTATCCACCTGAAGTCTGACTCGAACAAGGCTTTTCCTCCAATAACACTCGTATTTAGTACTGTCAGTAGCAAACCTCATAGGATATCAGGCAGTCTGACATGAGCTTTACTGGCAGAAACGCCCCCGTTGTTGTAAGCCTCCATCTGTTCCAGACAGGGGTACTGGTGCTGCTCTGGGTAGGGTTGGTTCAGTCCCCGGCAGGAAATCAAGAGACAAACTAGCGAGCTGTGACAGCTAACTGGGTAAACTTTTGCTGGAGCACCATTGCTAGTTGTCTGCTGCGTATTCCAACATCTTTTAATGCTTTTAGTTGAAGTACTGGTAAAATGAGAGACTGTAAAAGTAGTTTTTAAGGTTATCTTGTGTATGTTATCTCAGTAATTTTTTTTTTTCCCCTAGAAAACTTAGATAGGATATGTTGTATGGTAATAGCACACTTTGATATTTGACAGGCAATTAGGAATATAGAAAACTAGATAGTAATTTTCTAAGTTTCTAAGGTCTAATACCTAAATATCTAAGGCTGTGGTATGCAAGAAGCGAGACAAGTCATTTCATTGCCGTTTGAGGAAATGAGAAAGTATCCCTCTGTTATAATGATGTGGGTTTTTTGGTTTTAGTGTATACAGTTCTTTATGCTTTCTGATGTGCAAAGAGGTCATATACCAATACTCAGATTTGCAGAGGAAGAGGCTCACATTTTTTCTCAGACACGAATCTATATGGATATTTTGACATCTGTGTCTCAATATCTTAAAAAAGATGATCTGTGCTCTTCATTTGGTTTTTACATAATTGGTTAAATTTGATTGCAAATAGCAGAAAACAGTAGATTATTGACTTTTTTTCCTTCTTTCCAAGTCACTTTGATCATAGTGAATAAACAAAGGGTTGTTTTGCCTTTTTTTTTTAGTTTGACAAAATAGAGGGTGACCTGAATGTTTGAACTGCTTCATTACAAATGAAAATAAACTAAGAATCTCCTGAATGCTCTGGTTTCAGTAGCAGGACCTCCAAGAAGTCTAACCTTGTCCATTCTGTCGAATTAAGATGATGTTTCTTTTGCTGACTAGATTTAATCCCCAAATATACTTTTGTAGTGTACGTTTTGTCAAATTTACCAAAACCATTTTTAGATTAAAGCGAAACCTTTAGTTCCTAAGCTTCCCTGTGTAGAAAATGTTTTGTAGCTATATGAGAAACTGAAATTAGTATGTAATATTTTCCTGAAACTGCTCCTGGTTTACTGGCTGAGACCATGCACAGCTTGAGAAGGAAAGCATGCGTTTATGTCACTGTGAAATTAAGACTGAAGCAGAAAGTGATTACATAGAAGAAGTATGATGTCTGTTGCTGTAGGTAGACTATAATACACCAGATAGATACCTACATTAACAGGAGTGCTGCTTTGGTGTCATGGTAAGGGCACTGATTGCTGTTATACAGCAGAGCTTTGGAGTGCAGCCTTGATGCCTGTGTTATTTTGCAGTTACTGACTGCTTCCGAGATGTAGAGACACACAGTACCTGAGAACTGACATTCCCAGCCCTGGTTTTGCATTCACCTGTTAAAATGATGTCAGATCTGTAAGGGTGTTTGTTGGAGTGGATGTTTTTATATAACATGGTGGTTTATAGCCCTTACTGAATTATTCCTTTCGGTATATCTAGATTAAGGTAAGTTTTTCTTTGAATCAGGTGGCTACGAAGCATGTTATTATTTTGCATCTCTTTGAAAACTTCACCCATAACTTTTTTTTTTTCTTTATTGTCTTAGCTGTAAAGGACCCTACAGCTGTAGAAAGAGCAAATTTACTGAACATGGCAAAATTGAGTATCAAAGGACTCATTGAATCAGCTCTGAGCTTTGGCCGCACTCTGGATTCTGACTACCCACCTTTGCAGCAGTTCTTTGTTGTCATGGAGCACTGCCTGAAGCATGGCCTTAAAGGTGTGGTAATTGCTCTAGCTGCACATTTCTCATCCCAAACGTGCTGTTTTTCTTCCTTTCTCGAATGAGATAAAATCAAAGCATGTTATGTTGCTATAAAAAGTAAAGAAAATTTGTAGATTTTCACCTTTTATAATTAATAGTATTGTTATTAATACTTCACAACATATATTTCCCCATTTACCAATTTTTGTATACCGTTTGTTGTAAGTGCTCCAGGGACTACTACAACTGTATGTATGTATGTAGCTTATATTTTTAGCTAGTCATCCTTTCTATATTATTTTTGTTCTAGCACAGCAATTTTATGTTCACAGCAAAGTGATTCAGAAGATGGCTTTGGAGACTGGTGAACTGACCAGTGTCACAGTTATCTGGAAATCTAAGCTCAGCGGTTAACCCTTTCATCACAGCAGCATTTTGAAGGAAGCTAGTCCATTAATTTAAATTAACTCCATTACTTGATTTTTCTCTTCCTAGTAAGAAAATCCTTTCTAAGTTACAATAAAACCATCTGGGGACCTCTGGAACTTGTGGAGAAATTATATCCAGAAGCTGAGGAGATAGCAGCAAGTGTCAGAGATTTGCCTGGCCTTAAGTAAGTAGTATTGGTAAAATACAGCAAGAAATAAAGGACCTGATTGAGAATCTACAGATGTCTAATGATTTCATTTGGCATTAATCAAGCCTTTGAACAGCTAACACATGATATTGGGGGAGAGCATCTGTGAATCTCGCTAGCTTTTCATGTTCTGCACAAAATAGCTAAAAAATACAGTATTTTTATGTTCTTTTCTGATGTCCTGGGAGAAGAGTTTTCTGAATGGTGGACAAAAATGGTGCAAAAAGGAACAGGTCTGCAGTCTAGAACTGCAGGAAACATGTGAGTCTAGTCAGCAAAAGCTGTATAAAAACAAAAGGTAACATAGAGAAGAGGAAAGTATTAGGCAGCTTTTCAGATTCTTGTGTGTAGGGTCCTTCTTAAATCTAATTCTATGCTGTGAACTACAATCGCCTCCCATTCCTCTGCACTCTGCTTTTGTATTTAGTTTTATAATTGGACATATATTAAATTCTGAAAGGCTTTGGTTACACTGTGATCGGTATATGGTAGCATAAGGCTTATAATGTATAGTTTTAGACCTTATCTAAAACACATAGGTATATAAATTATGACTTGCTCTTGTGCCAGGCCAGATGAAGTAACTCCTTTTGTCAAGTGTTACACTCTTCCTGTCCTGATATAGCATGCAGGTTTTTGGGGTCTTGTTTTGCATTTAGGACCAGTCAAACCTGGCAAATCAACAATTGGTTATGGGACTGGTAACCCCCCACAGCCAGGGGTTTGGCTGCTTAGACCATGGGACGCACTTTGGGAAACCTGGGGTCCATCCGTCAGAGAAGGGAAGAGCATCTTTGGTTATAGGCTTGTCAAACTGGTGAAGAGGGGCTTTAAACTAAAGTTGCCAGGGGAGGGGAGCCTCAATCCATCCCACTCCTACCAGCTTGATGCCAGTGCCAGCAATAGATGCCCAGAGCCTGGAGAGGGGTCACAGGGCATCAGGAGAGCACCTGGAAAGCAGCATAAAGGAGTTGCAGCCAGAAAGTCAGCTTCATCAGGGGCCCAACTTAAATGCCTCTACCGGGAATAAACAAGAGGAACTAGAGACCTGTGCATGCCTGCAGGGCTACAATCTTACTGGCATCACCGAGAGCTGGTGGGATGGCTCCCGTGTCTGCAGTGTTGGAATGGAAGGGTACAGGCTCTTTAGGACGGACGGGCGGGCAGACAAGGAGGGGGTTCACCCTCTGTGTCAGTGACCCGCAGGGGTGCATGCAGCTCTGCCTGGGGATGGGTGAGGAGCTGACTGAGAACTTATGGGTCAGGACTAAAGGGAGGGCAGGGACAGATGTCATAGTGAGGGTCTGCTACGGGCCATCCGACCAGGAAGAGCGAGTGGATAAGGCCCTCTAAAGACAGATAGGAGCAGCCTCATGTTCACAAGCCCTGGTCCTCATGGGGGACTTCAACCACCCTGGTATTTGTTGTGGAGGGACAACACAGCAGGGCATAAGCAATTCAGGGCATTCCTGGAATGTGTTGATGATAATTTCCTTCTCCAAGTGATAGAGGAGCCAACAAGGAGAGGTGCTATGCTGGACCTTGTTCTTGCCAAGAAGGAGGGGCTGGTGGGGAGTGTGAAGCTCAAGGGCAGCCTTGAAATGGTGGAGTTCAAGGTCCTTAGGGCAGAGAGGAGGGTGCGCAGCAAGCTCACTGCCCTGGACTTCAGGAGAGCAGACTTTGGCTGCTTCAGGGATCTGCTTGGCAGAGTAGCAGGGGATAGAGCCCTCAACTCCTGTTCCTTCCAGGGTCTGCTCCCAAGCCCAGCTGAGCTGATCAAAATTTTTCTGATATTATCCTAAAGCTTGGAGTCAAAGCTTAGATATTATGGCTTCCCAGACTGCATTTCTCAGCTGATACTTTAAAATACCCTTCCAGAAATACTGATTGCTCTACCACTAGGCTTATGTTTAAGACAGCAAATTGTTATATTGTGGATTTGAGATTATTTATCTTCATGCCTTTTTTTCCAGAACACCACTGGGCCGTGCTCGGGCCTGGTTACGGTTAGCACTAATGCAGAAGAAAATGGCTGACTATCTTCGCTGTTTAATCATTCAGAGAGATCTTCTCAGGTAAACAACTAAGTAGATTTTGTTTATCATTTATTTTAGAGCTTTAGTTTCCTGAAAAAAAACCCCAAAACTTTTTAATGTATCCTTAGCATAGCGAAGTGTAGATTCTGGTCTGTGGACTGATGTCTTCCAGTCCTCAAGGCAGAGGGACCAAACACTGCTGCCTCATCAAGAGGGCCAGCTGGTGGGTGAAGGGATGTTTTCTCGCCATCATGTAGGTGGGCCTTCTGCAACATGCCTGATGGTTCATTTGCAGATGAGGGTGATGGGGAAGGGCTCCTGCTGCATTCCTTTGCCGTGCAGAATACAGACTGGAAAGCTCCGGAGAGGAGACGAATTCACCCCTGCCATATGCATGGTTTCCTACTGAGCTACCATTGCATGGAGGACGATTGCTTTGAACTTTCCTTTCCTTTCCCAGTTCTAAAACTGTCATTGCTCTCTTCTAGTATAACTTTTCTCTGATGGAGTAGTTGAAGCACAAAGGGGAAAAAAAACCCTTGTCATCTTCATTTCAGTTCTATAACCTATACATATTTTTAAGACTTTTCTTGTATGCCTAGATCATGCTGATATGTCAGGATGACAATGGTGTTCATCAGCTATGGAATTTTCCTCTTAAAGCACAGTTTGTTTCATAGAGTCTAAAACTTTATTTTAGAAGTGCAAGGAGGAGGAATTAAATGTTGGTATTCTGTTGTTTAGTGGAGTGTTTTTCTTTTAAAAGCCTTTTTTAGCATTTCAGCCCTTTCCATTTCTTTTCTCTCACTCTCACTTTTAATTTTAAACATGTTCATTAAAGTCCAGACCTTTTTACACAAGTTAAATTTTTTACCATTCTTCTTTTGTATTCACTAGTGTTTAACAACATAATACTTGTCAGAATCAGTGTGGCCAAACATCCACCTGTTGCAGTATCCTGTTCAAAAGTGGCTAATAGCAAGTGTATAGGAAAAAGCCTTTTTTTTTATTGTGTTTTTTAAAGACAAAGTAAGTCCTGCCTCCCAAATCTTCCAGCCCTCTATCAGCTTGTGGCTCAGATTTCTGGAGCCAGAGGTAGCATCTTTGTTTTTAATAGCCTCTGAAACAAACCAGTACTTTCAGTTTTTAAATATTTGTAAAGTATGAGCAGATCCAGTTCATCTTTATGATGTTGGGGTAAGGCTAAAATCAGAGAAACAATTCAGATTTAGATGTCACGTATTATTAATGTATTGGATGCAAATGTAATGAATATACCAATAAGACACCATTTTCTTCTTTAACAGCGAATTTTATGAGTATCATGCACTAATGATGGAGGAAGAAGGAGCAGTTATTGTTGGGCTATTAGTTGGGTTAAATGTGATAGATGCTAACCTGTGTGTGAAGGGAGAAGACCTAGATTCACAAGTAAGTCAGTACAGGTAAAGTAATGTACATGCAATCCATAAGATTTTTACATACAGTGGATTTTGTTACTGTGGAGTTGTGACTTGTTAGAAATCTTACTAGAGACTCTTTAGGACGTGATCCATCTCCTGGATTAGTGGGGCCTTTTGCATTAACCTCAGTATCAGTTGGGTCAGGCCTTTAGATAGTGATAATTGTCAGAGTGCAAGGGTAAAGTTTGATGCTTCGTCATCAAAATGTATGCAATAGTAGCAATGCAGAGTTCTTTCCGTGTTAACTGCGTAACTCCTCTTTTTCCTTTGTGGGAGAAGTATAGTTCCATGACCAGTTTATCCCATTTGGTTCATTTATTGTTGTTCTGGAACATAATAGGAATGTTTCAAGGACCTGAAACAAAAACTTACTTCACACAGTGTAATAAAAGACCTTACTGAGAGGGTCACTGCTTCCAACCTGCACAACAAGACTTAGAATTCTTCCTCCCTTGCAGAGTGCTTTGACTTTGAACTCTGATCTTTTCCAAGAAAACCTTGATGGATTCTTTTTAAAGGCATTAAAGGCATGGGATTAATTTGTCTTCACGTGTTCATTCTTGTTACTATCTAATGTTTTAGGCACTGATCTTGTGTACCAGAAGATGTAACATTGAAAGGCCTGTAATTATATAAAACTTATCAATGTGCTCATCTTAGTATTGAAAATTATATGTGTGTATCACAAAATCTATTGCTAGGTACACCTTTGTTATTTAGGCCACTTAGTGGCTTTGCTGTATGAGGGAAGATAAAACTTGATCTGAGAGGGTAGTAGTGGCTGTCCAGATGAGAATTTAGAGTAATTCTGTTTGTGAAGAGTAGTGTAAATAAGTCACCTTCTCAGAGAAACCAGAAGCCACGTGTTGTATTGAGCAGAAAGAGAAACTTCTGAAGGATGATGAGGTTGCATCTGGAAGCATAGTTCTGGCATGTTAGAAGAGTGCTATTCAGTGGTCAAATGTGTGTATGCACACATGGAGAATTTAACTTTTATAACTTCACGGAGAAGTAACTTTTAGAGAGCTAACTTTCTACTTTTTCATAGACATAGTATTTGCTTTAATAAGCAAAATATGTTTTTTAAAAAGCTGTTGGAGAAGAGACTTTTTACAAAAGACATGGAAGTGACAAGTAGAAGGCTGTCATAGGGAACTGACAGGAAGGTATCATATAACCCAGGGAAATGTCAGACTTAGTAAGTTACCTGTATTCAAAAGCTAAAGGGAGCTCAAGAAGGAAGTTGTAGATCAGAGAAATTGAGATACTTTTGTGAAGAGGCTGCTAGACACCAAAAAGAAAGGGTTTTGGTAAAAAAACCCGTGGTTAAATACTTCTGTTACAGGTTTGTGAATAGAGTTGGAAGCAGAACTCATGGTAATGTTATTTATCATATATGTGATTAAATTACAATTGAATCGAAAAGAAAAGAAATTGGATTTAGCAAGGTTTAAAAAAATGAATGCAGTTGAGTTGGCACACCTGGGAATCAGCAAGTGTGGTGAGGTAGGAGTATTTGGCAAGAAATATTGAAAAACTAAACATGGGGGAAACATCAGTTTGGGAGACATGCTGTGATAGGAAATCGTGAGAAGCACTACAGACAGATTATCACAAGTCTACTCAACCAGTTGCAGGGTTAAGTAATACCTAGTAATTTCCCAAATGAAAGTCTTCCTGTAAATTCTTGGCTAAGCTCAATCAGAGGTAGGAAGTAATCTTTTCTTTGGGCTTTGGTACATGGTCCATTGTTAATTTTGCTCAAAGATAGCATAATTCTTAAAAATACATTAAACTATACTTTTTTAAAAAAGCTTTTGTTTAAAATGTTACAGTGTTTTGAGCTTCTGGCTGAAAGTCAGCCAACCTTGAAAAAGCTGATGTGACTGAGGTTTTAGTAATTATATAGATACAAGACTGTGAATCTCAACAGCAGTTATTTGTATGAGATGAAACTGTGTACATTTGCTTTCCCCTAGGTTGGGGTGATCGATTTCTCTATGTATTTAAAGAGTGATGATGACATTGGGGGTAAGGAAAGGTACGTCCTCACCAAATACCTTGAATTTTGCACATTAACAAATGATTTTTTGACTGGTGCCCTGTTCTTTGTAGAAATGTCAGGTTCCCTAAAGATGAAGTCTTCTGATCCCACTGTCTTGAGAAAAATGGTTCTGTATTACCAGTTAGCTGGAAGAATATTTGACCTCTGAAGCAAGCCTCAGCCACATCACCTACTTCCTTTTCCCGATGGGCAGTATTGGAGGATTGCAAGGTGGCAATGAAAAGGAACCTGCTAACCTTTAAGCCCTCAGCTTGGAATTTAGTCAGTGTTTCAGTGAAGCAGAGTTATGGCAGAGTAAATAAACATCATTTTTTTGTATGAGACTCTATGTTGCTATGTTTTAGGTAGAGAAATTGTTTGCAGTTAAAGCATTGGGTTTTTTTGTCTCTCGCTGATGTCACAACATCTAAGTTATTGACTTGATGCTTGTGAGATGAAGCTGCTTTTCTTTTTAAAAAGCCCAATTAAGATGGACATTTGCTTATGATAGGTATATTTTCAGTACATAGTTCAATACATCATTTTGTTAAAGCTAATTTTATTATGTGCTTGTTTTAGAAATGTACAGATTGCTGCAATTTTGGACCAAAAGAATTATGTTGAAGAGCTAAACAGACAATTGAAGTAAGTATTACTTTGAAGTATGCATGTCAGGCCAGGCCTACAGGTAAAACACCTCTGATTCCTTTTGTACCACAGCTTTGTGAGAGAACTTCAGAGAAGGGGTGCAAATTGTTTTATGTTTAGACTGAGGATGTAGTGAAGTTGGAAGGGATACGCTCTTCTGGAGAGACTCAAGGAGTCTTAGTTTTCATGGTTTTGTTTTTACAGTTGGAACCTTTATTCTTCAAAGAAATAGAAAACTGATCAAGGTCCTCACAATTCCTGACTACACAGGAATGAAAAGCTTGATCTGGATTTTAACTGCATTCTGTTTAACAGTTTTCAAAAAGTGTTATTGAGTGTTATGGGTGAATCCACATGATATGGTTTCTTTGCCTTTCGTAATATTGTAGTCTGTAGCTTTAATGCCTAGGACTAAAACTGATTAAGTTCATGACTAGCTGGAAATTACTTACACATTGTAGGTTGTTGTTTCTGTAGAAAGTTTTCAGGAAGGCAACCTTTCTCCTTTACTTTGCTAGGTGGAGCAAACCTAGTCCACCGCTGCGTTTGTTAATGTACAAATAGAGGAATGGTGATTGTAATTATCTGAGGAGTCCTGTACAAAATTAAGCTATGTGAGGAGCTAAGAAAGAAAAAAACCCAACAAAACCGAACAACAAACCCACAAAGAACTTCTGTAGAATCTGTAGTATACCTGATTTTCTTGATCCCTTCTTGAAATGGAATCGTATCTTTTCATTTTTAATACGGGTAATTTTGATCACTAGTTACTCTGTAACTGCTGTTGGGGTAAAGATATTCTGATTTGGAATTGTGTCAGTCGCTGAGTGGAAACTTTCAACGGGACAGAATAACTGAATGGGTCAAATATCAGCAAAATGGAAGCAAGTTAAGAAGGAGAAAGGAGCTATCACAATTAAGAACAGTGGTGTTGTGTGATGATAGCTGTCATTGTTCAGGTGAGCCCCTCTGTGCTATGTATACTGGTTATGCATGGAATTACTTGCAAGCCAGTGATTCAGCAACTCTCCTATTTAATTTCAGGTCAGCTGTTACTTTCCACACATCCTAAAATGCATTAGTCTCCTCTGCCTTGCCATTCTTAATGAACTGGTAACTTCTGGGGACACCAGGGTAGAAGTACGTGGAAAAGTAAACAGTGTTACAGAACAGGGTTTGTTTGTTTTTTTTCTGTGCGTGAAGTGCAGCCTAAAAAAATGTGCTTACAGCAGAAATAGGCAATCAGGTAATGGAGAAGGCCTGAATGTAGTTTGATATGATAAAAAACCCCCCACAGAGTAATAAAAGGGAACAAAATTTTGATGAGACTTATAAATGAAGTCAAGGAGCATCAAGAAAGCCTGAGGATAGATCTCAAAAAAAGTGGAGGAGCAAATAATTTTGTAAAAGAAATGGATTTTGAAGGAAGAGAACCTGGAGAATGGTTTCATTATATGGTGGAGAAAACCCCAAGAAGATTGTAAACTGTCTTTTAAAGGAAGTCATTAAACATTTGGATGCAATATAATTGTGAGGATAAACGGAAGGGAGAATACATGTAAATTCACACCCAACCAGGAGTTTAAGTGGCTGGGATGACATTGGGAGATGGAAGGAATTATATAAATGTTTAACAAAAGAGACTTATTTTCTTATATTTAGGAAAACCTAAAATAATGGGAGCAGACCTTTTAGCACATAACTGTTAAATCACTGTACTTCGCTTTAAAGCTTTTGAGCTTGGTTGAATGAGTTTTGATATAATTTTGAATAACGTTTTTTCTTTTTCTCTTTCAGTAGCACAGTTAGCAGTCTACATGCAAGAGTTGATTCACTAGAAAAATCAAACACCAAACTGATTGAAGAGGTACTTTTTTTTAGCAATGCATAATAGATTATTTACTCTCAAACGCTATTTTTTCCAAACATACTTGCATTACTTTAATCCACATAAGTTCTGTCTATCATGTTCAGATACCTTTACTTTGGCTTGAAGAAAAGGTGGAGTAGCTGCAGGGATTTGAAGTCAGCTTGCCTAGGTAGCTTGCAGGATCAGTAAATTAATTCTGTAGAACATTGCAATGTCCCACTTTGGACAAAACCAGAAGAGAAGCCTTTCTTAATGCCAACTGTCAGTCTGATTCTGTGCAGATGACTAGTCCATAATGGATGACAGCAGTTGCTACAAAGAGACAGAAAGTAGTTCACCAAGCAATTTCTGTTACCGTTTTCAGGGTAAATGGTAACATGGTTTCTTGCTTATTTACCATATGTTTATATACAATTTTTAGACTTGTCCTGCTCTGGTTTTGAATTTATATACTGTATTTCCAGTTATCTTTGATGCTTAACTAGATTCCAATATTTTTAACTTTGTAAGAGAGAGCACAATTTTTTTCTTTAATCCAAGGTGCTTGAGGAATAGTTAATGAAGTGGAAAATTGAAATGTCTAAATTCAGCTATTGAGGGGATAGCTAGCTCACTCTGGGTATTAATGCGTCCTGATGGAGGGAAAACATTTTTACTGAGTGTTAATTCTCAGAGTATTCTGGTTCCTTTACAAGCCTTCAGCCCAAGTCCACCTATTTTGATCAGCTGGCTTATAATTCTGATATTAATGTATATACTGTAGGGCCCAGTTATGATGTTTTGTCTTTTGTAATATTTTCTTTTCATCTGGAAGATGATTCCTTATGTAAATTGCTCCACATGATACATTAAGATGTCCAAAAAAGAACAAAACTGGGTATATTTGAATCCAAATGGAAAGGAAATTGAGGGTCTTTAAGTCATAATAAAACAATGAAAAGTAAGTTCTTTACCAGACATGAAATAATGAAGTATATTCAATATGCATGCTGTTGTGTAATGAGGCCCATTACTAAAATCAGGAGCTTTATGTTTTCTTTAAAAACAATTAAACCTGTGTTTGTTAGACTGTGAGAATAGAGCAGAGAATGTCTTGGTCTTGCATTCATCAGAACATTTTAAAATCTATTTCTACTCACAAAACTCATGCTGCTTTTATTTATTTATGTATTTTATTTACAGTTAGCAATAGCCAAAAACAATATAATTAAACTTCAGGAAGAAAACCATCAGTTAAGGAGTGAAAATACTCTTATTTTAATGAAAACACAGCATCATCTAGAGGTATGTTTGTTTTATCACATTTAATGTAGCAGTGTCACATCGTTCATTGCCATTCAGATGTTCTTACATTGCAACTTGAAGTAAGCAGTAGCTGGGCCAAATCTAAACCAACTTTTATTGGGGAAAAGACTTATTAAATCTGGAAAGCTTTATAGTGGCATAAATATATTGAAACTATAGGACACTAGATTGTTTTATACCCATATGCAAATTTTGTAGCATTTTACCTTGTATTCTACTTTTCTTCCATTCTTTCTTTTTTCTTCTTTTCTGTAAGCTATATCTAAGAGCATTTAAAGCAATATTATCTGAAAATCTTGTCAAAATAGTGTGTGTTTTAGTTGCCGTTCCGACCTGTCTCATTGTATAGATGTCATTTGGAGTAAGCATATATACAATCACTGAGCTTATTTTTAAAGCTGTGGTTTGTAGCTCCTTGTGTAACTTCTTGAATGTGTTTTACAGGATAACTGGTAAAAGAACATCTTAAGGGAAAGTGTGGATTCCTCAGTACTGAAATAGTTCTGTGTTAGAGTGACTTAGTGGAGGAAGACTGTACTGCAGTACAATTTTTATTTTGCTAGATTTATAAAACTGATGATCACATAGCAGAAACAGCTCTTTCCAGTGTTTGTAGCGTGTTTGGAGAATGTATTTTTAAGCGCTTTTTTTTTTTCGCCGCGAGTGTTATATTTATGCTAGTAATTGCTAAACTTGTGATGAAGAAAAATAGATTCTCCGTATCTTTGTAGGCAACTAAAGTGGATGTTGAAGCAGAACTTCAGACATACAAACACTCCAGGCAGGGTTTAGATGAAATGTACAATGAAGCACGTAGACAACTTCGAGAAGAATCACAGCTTCGTCAAGTAGGTGTTCTTTTCTAGGATTACGCTACTTCTAGAAAAGTTTATGCTTGAGCAGAGTCAGTTTGTGCATATTTCTAGTTTTGCTTTGCTGAGCTTAGATGTTGCCTTTCATCGACTTTAATTGCCTTTTCTCTAACTGTTTTTAATAAAAAGGATTTTCTAAATATTTAAAAAAAATATTTCTGTAACAATACATTTTCTTTGAGAAATTTTTCCATCCATTGTTAGCAATACTGTGTGCTCTGTATGTATGCTAAATCTTTCTTGTGAAAACAGAAATCCTTTAGTTCTATTTTTGTAATTAATACTTAGGCAACTCTATGCAATACTGGCGGGGTAATTTCTTATAATGCAAGTTTTCTTCTTCCAAAGTTAAAAAAAACCCCACTGGTCACTAAGTACATGAGTGCAATGTTTATGTAGTGGATAATTTACAAAGTTAAGGAGGAGCAGAATTTCTGAAGTGGTGAAATAGGTGGTGCTGCAGCTCTGTTAGTGTTAGCTTTTATTCTTTCCAAAACAGAGATAAAATGTTGCATAATTATTTAAATATTTTGTGTTTGTGTTTTATAGGATATGGAGAATGAGCTAGTGGTTCAAGTCAGTATGAAACACGAGATAGAACTTGCCATGAAGCTGCTGGAGAAGGACATCCATGAGAAGCAGGATACCCTCATAGGCCTTCGACAGCAGCTTGATGAAGTTAAAGCAATTAATATGGAAATGTACCAAAAGCTGCAGGTAAAGGAACAGTTTGCTGTTAAGCTGATGAAATTACTTTGATTGGAGAGAGATGCATTACCATTTTGTTTAGTTAAGTACTGCTTCTGCCTTAATTTTTGGTTTCTTTTTGCTTCTCAGGTCAGCTTGTCGTTTTGAAACTTTACAGATGCAAGCATGATTTCACACAAAGAAGCTCTTTAGGCAGTCGTTTAATGCTAGTGGGCTTATAAAAGAAAAGAGCATGAGAATAAGATCATGGCCTAATAACTTGCTATGTGGAATAGAAAGAGTAATAGTATATCTAGTGATAATGACACTCTTTGGCCTGTGTTCTATAAAGAACCCAAGAGAATGTAGGTACGTAGTGAGGAGTTAAAGAGGAGATCTGAGCTTTCAAAGTAAAGAAAGGCATTTGGAAAACAGGGTTATATTCAATGGAAAAAGCTAATTACAGGTTGTTTTCTTAATCTGTTAACTAACTAAGAAAATCTATAACGATGCAATTCTTCTTTGGGAGAATATGGATCTCAGAGGCCCAACATGCAGGTAACCGATGACCAAACACCAAGGGAAGATTATCGCTGAATTATTTATGTGAAACATAAATTAAATTTATGGAATAAATGATCAAAACCAGCACAAGAAACCAGTCAAATCTGTGGCAGAATGAGGGGGGAAAAAAATTAGAATGCTGCAGAGAAGTAGTTGAGATGATGGACAAAGGATGCAACTTTTCCACATGCAACTGTGTGGAAACTGGACGAGAGGAAGAGAAATACAAGTAGGACTGAAAAGAAAAATAAGAGGAGAGTGTTCTTCAGTTTGTTTGGATCTGTAGGTTGTTTTGGTTTTTTTTTCTTTTAAAGCTGTACTTCTGGGGACTATGGGTAACACTGATTTCACTTACGACATTCAGACACGCTTCCTGGGCAGAGTAGAACAGTTTAATCATGCTCAGTCTCTGCTGATTAGGGGCCATTTGATAGCAAGGATAATGTTCTACTTTTTATTTAGATCTTTGAGCTGTGGTTGTAGCAGCTCTGCAAAGAATCAAAATTGTGAAATGTGTTTAGTAAAATTCTTACAAGATTTTTAGGTGCGTATGGTGGTTTCGTAAAAGTTGGAGAACCTTAGTGATTTCCAGGACTAAGCATCCTTTATTGGTAAGGTTCTGGGGGGCTTCTTAAAAAGGTGATCTGTGAATTTGACTTGAAAAATGAGTAACTAAGAAAGGAAACCAAAATGAAAAACATATCCTTATTAAATAGCATCTGCACTTGCAAAATACAAAACTACAAATTTGCTAGGCATAACATTTTAAGTACTGTCAACTACTTTTTTTTTTTGATGGGAATGTTTAAAAAGAATCAAAACCTGAAGCTGTTTTAATGTTTTTCCCTTCAAATATGAAGGAAAAAAAACCCCTTGAGGTAACAATATATACCTACTTCAGTTTTAACCTTTTTTGTAACACAGGTTTCTGAAGATGCTATGAAAGAAAAGAATGAAATAATTGGTCGATTAGAGGATAAGACCAATCAAATTAATGCAACTATGAAACAACTAGAACAAAGGTACAGGCCCATCTTTGGTTTTCTTCATTTGTGTCTCCATCTCCTTACATTTTACCATATTCCTACACAGTTGCCACCGAAATGTAACTTTCAATTAGAAAATTTGAAAAGAACCTTTCTGAAACATTAACTAGTGCTTCACTGTTTGATTTTTTTTCTTTTTTTATTTTTTTTTTTAACAACCACACTTATTCTAACTACAGACTTAATCTTTCAGTTTTCTTCCTCCACCATATTTCTTCTGGTCCTGGGTTTTTGTGCTGATACCAAAAGTTGTTCTTCCACCTGTTTCAAAATTCTGATTCATTATTACTTTCCCCCACCCCCACCCCCCGAATGAAATGCAATAGAAACCAAAGCATTAATCTTGCTTATACTTAAGCATGTGCTTAATATAAACATTTAATGCCTTCATGGATCACTGCTGTATTTGCTGAAGCTATTAAAATTGTTGTCTGTTGCTTTGGAAGCACCATTATTTTCAATGACACAATGAGTTTTTACACTGAAAGGTTGAAAAGTGAAAGACTAAAATTCCAGTATAGAAATTTTACATTATGGTTAGACTGCATGTATTGCATAATATTAAAATGTGATTCATATGTTTTAATTTAGTGGCCAATATGCAACATTGATCTATTTAATTGTAAAATATAACATATCCATTAGCCCTGTCATGTTGGTGTTTGACATGTCTTTTTTTTTCATTTAAATCTGATTATGAAAAACATGGTTATGTATTAAAAAAATTAGTGACATGAATATTCTTTTATTGACATCCTTTTTCCCTCTTTTTTCTTTTTCTTTTTATCCTTTATCCCAATTTCTGTTTTTACTATTTTGCTGCCTTCATCTGTCTTTGATTTTTGTCCACTGCATTCATGAAGTGACAAAGATCTGTTAACTCAAACTAGGACTATTGCAATGTCATTCATCAAATGTGCCAGCAATGAAGCTCAGCACCAGTATAAACTTGTCAAAGATATTTCATTCTGAAAGCTCCTCCAGATCTGTTGTGTTTAAATAATTACTGATAAAGTACAACTTACGAATTTTTAAATTACAACTCTAAATATAAAGTGGTATTAGAAATCCTGCACTGTAACTGATCGTAGCTGGGTTCTATTTTGTTTTCTGAAAGAACATCATCTCCGATCTCACTTTACCCCTCTTAAAAAAAAAAAAAAAAAAAAAAAAAAAAAAAAAAAAAAAAAAAAAAAAAAGTAAACTACTGCACTATTATTAAGCAAATGTAAGCTAGTTTTCTAATGCTATTTAACCACTTCTTAACTGTCAAACAAAGTTTATTTTAAAAGGTTAGCTATCTTTACTTTGGCTGTACATTTTTATGACATTTGTTTCTAATTAGTGATTTTTCCTATTCTTTATGGTACTAATAGATTTAAAAAGTAGCCCTTCTGACTAATATTTCCCTTCTGCCCTGCTTATTTCTTTCACTTTTAGGCTGTATTTATCCCCAAAGCATGCTATCTGTTGGTTTTTTTTGGTTGTAACTAGCACTGTTTTCTTAAACAGTGACAGGAGTTTGGGGGAAAGGGGTTTGAGTGCTATATCAGAACGATATATTAAAAAAAAAAAGAGTGGAGTCGACATACATGTTCAGTATGTACAGTGGAAGAATTACAGGGTTTGGGGAGAAGGCAGCTAAAGCACAATTCCATTTTGCTGAAGTGATGGGGGTTAGAATATTTTCACAGAGTTAAAATGTGTTCGGAGCCTGGACTTGGACGGGGCTCCAGACAGGAAGGACAGCACACTTTAGCAAATTTTGTAGCTGTGACTGCTGCCTAGAACAGCTGCACCATGATAGCTACAGTGGAAGTTGTAGTAATAAATAGGTTTTTACATTTAGGGCCCAGAGTCTGAACTTGTCTAACTTGTTTGTCAGCTAAGGATCTTGCCTGCCTGTGGCTGCGTCTACGCTGTAATCCTAACCTGTGGTTTTGCCCAACCCCTTTTTCTTCCACCCATCATTAAGCAATCTTTACAGCTCTCCTTTCTGATTTGAGTTGCTGCTTGCCTGCACTGCAGAAATCAGAGTTTTAGCTGCTGACTGCCCTTGGTGTGCTTCCCAGTGTTTCCTGATGTGTGGAGCGTAAGTTGCCTGGGAAAAGTCTTTTAGGGTCTTTCAGCAGAAAGGGATGTGTTTGTAAAAGTGAAGGGCAGGACAAAACAATACAGAGAGGGTTTCTACTCCCATCATGTTGCCTTATTCCTTGGTTTGGAATCAGAAAGAGCCTTTAACATGGGCTGGCTACTAAAAAATAAAAATAAATTGATTAAAAAAAAATCTCCCATCCTCAAAGGAAAACCCAAACCAGAAACACTGAATAGAACAACAGGTAGACCAGAGCAGAAATGGGAGCATAACCATCTCATGGTCATCTATGCAAAAAAGTGTCTGCCTCAGTATCATCTGAGTCACAAATCCTGCTGCGGACGTGGTCCAGCTCCACATTTGTCTGGATGACGGCAGTGCACTTGGCCTTGGTGCTAGTCTAGAGGATGGTGCTGTAGGTTGGCTTGGCTAGTATGATTCTTGGGTAGCAAGCTCCCTGTCTACTTTGGTTGTGGAAACTACACTGCAGTTTAATTTGTGATTTAGGGAGGGTTTTGACTTGCTTTTGATGTTGTCTTGTGTAGCTTCATTCAGCTGCTTCTGCCCAGTGGATTGACCCCGCTTTTTCCCAGCGCTCTCCTTTCCATACGTGTTTTGGCCCTCTGTGCACCACCATTGCAAATGTGATTCAGAACGTTCGTAAAACAACTGTTGTAGATGAATGAGATAGTACACACTTTATAAGGCAGTTATAATTCCAGTCTTTTTTCCCCTTGTTTACTGGCAGCTTTTGGAAACTCCTGCTGGTGCAACTTCATCAGTAGAAACACAAATGTAGACATATTGCTGACTTAATTTCTTTTTAGCTGACACTGGAAGTTGTGAGTTAATCAGCGTTCAGCTAGCTGCTGGGAAGTGAGAAACCAAGCACAGAGAGAGAGTATCACAGATTTCTCCCTCCACTTACCTGAGAGGCCCTTCAAACAGTTTTGTTAAACACGATGCAACAGGTGGGGACATTCAGTGGTATTTTACAGGCTCTTTTACTCTCCTGCCTTTTCATCAAGACAGGTGTAGCCATGATATAGCACAAGTTCTATTTTAGTACCTTTACTTTTGTTACATTACACCCACCTTTTTTTGAACTGAAGAAGTGACCAAGCAGAGAGGAGCCACAGTGAACCAATGGATTCCAAGGGGAGTGCTACCTGAAGCAGAAACAAACCCCTGGAATTCAAAAAGGAAAGATTAAATAAAAAGACTAATCCCTCATTTCTTGATTAATTGGTTTTATTTATTTTGTCTATAGTATGGAGCTATTTTAACCAGTGTAAGAATGCATTATTTTTAATACAGATGATTTAAATTAATTTAATAATATGATGTAGTTGAGGTAGTTCTATAAATGTAGTGGGACCTGTCACGGTGTGTCGTCTTGTATTAGGCTAGTTGAGTTTTTTGCTGTCTGATTGCAGTGCTCTGTATTCAGCCTTATGCCTGAATTGTTTTGAGCTGCTTTTGCACAACACATGCTGGGTGATTAGCACAAGCCAAGAACTTTTACAGGATTTATTTGGTGGGGGGGTTGAAAGCTTCCAAAAATAACACATGCACATATGCTAAAGGAAAAAAAAAAAAAGCATTAAGGTATATGCTTCAATTCTAAAATATGTATCGTCATGCTTTGGCATCTGTTATTCATGAGCATAAAATAAAACAGTGATTACTTACAGTGATTACTCTCTTACTGTATGAAAAAACAGGAGCTAGTTCTCTAGGCATTGTACGGATTTCTCGTTTGAGTTTGTGAGTTTCCCCCAAACTTTGTTTTTATTTAGAAATGTTTCTATTTCCCCATTTTTCTTTTATTTGTCTTCTTCACCCTCTACACCCTAGTTCTAGCTTCAGTTTTACCCAAAGTTGATTTGAATTACACCAGATTGCAGCAAGCAGAGAAGGCTCAAACGGAGGCTGAGGCCGAGGATGAGAAACTTAAACAGGAATATGTGAATAAATCTGAAAGTCTGCAGAAAGAATTCTCGCAGAAGGAGAAACAGCTGTAAGTATATCCTTCCTGTTTGGAATACTATACAGCAGTAGAGACTCTACACTGCGGTATGCCCTGTGTCTTAATACAGGCTGATTGTTGATAAATGGTTTTGAACAGAATGTAAATACTAAAGATCTTCATGTTTGGTACTGGCAAGGTGGAAGAAAATATGCCAAGAAAGTCAGGCAACCTTTGGGTGCCTCTAAAATGATGTGCAGCTTGAAAGGAGGGGGAAGAACAGCATTATTTTGTTTTCTAAAAGTGCCAGCTTAACTCACAAGGAAATTATCGTAAGTGGGTACAGAGACATAGTGTAGTAGTAATATACGCTCTAACAAAATTAATGAGTATGTAGTAGTAGAAACTTAAACAGAAATGGTATAAGAATAGTTTAATTCATCAGGTGTATGAATAAGGTAGAAGTGGTTTAACTTAACCACTGCGCAGGAAATAAAAAATAAAACTCCACTGGAATCATAAATACTAAAAAATAATATAAAAGCCAACCTTCTAGTCTTGCTCGTGTTAAATCCTTCAGTACTGATTTAAATCAATATGTAACTTAAAAAGCTCCCTGTCAGGGCAGGTATTTTCCCTGTTTGGAAAGATAAGAAGTAAATTATATAAGACAGTGCAAATTGGTGGCACAACAAGGATTGGGGCTTAACAATGAGTGATTTCCAATCCAGTTCTTAGCCCACTCTGCCTCTCTTACAACTCTGAATGTTAATAAACTTGTTTAACTGTCATGACAAATGTTCACTTTACTACCACAGTCATCTTTGCAGATTTTGGCAAAAGAACAGTTCAGACCCCAGCCTTAGAATTCTGCAATTCTGAAACCTCAAGGTCATGTTCACTTCTGATCTTTTCCAGCCAGATGCTGAGGTAGTGTCCCAAAATGTAAGTCTTTCCTTTAAAAATGGTTTTGATTTTAAAACAGGAAAATTAATGTGCATACAGGTTTTTTCATCAAAAAACCTTGCATGACTACTCTCAGATTTTTTTCCTTTTTTATTGTGTTGGCACAATTTAGATCTAGAAGGTTGAGCAGTGTGCTTCGATCCTTTGGTTTCTCTGTAATATTCTAAGCACCAACTCTTCTGTGAAACCGATAATGAAATTCCAGCTAGAGTGGATCTTCCGTCAGAGTAGCCCTAATTCCTTTAACTGGACTCCAGTTAAACTGACAGAGTTTAGATCCGTTTTTTATGTTGAACCTCAGCTAGGTAGAAAGCTCAATAAAAATAGTAATTTAAAGTCCTTCCTCCTTTATTTTCAATTCTGTTCAAAATGCCATACGCCTTAGTCTAAAATAGAAGATTCACATCTGAAGGGTATAATATTACACTTTTACAAGCACCAGAGCTGTATGCAATCATTGTCTGCACCACCAATGGCAGTGTGGTTGGCTGGCTGGTTGGTTGGTTTTATTTCAGAAACAAGCTATGTAAAGTTAAGAGGGCTTTGCCTTATGGGTGTTTTAAGAGTACTTCAGAATTTTGTGGTTAATATTCTCTTGCTCATTTATTGCGAAGGTCAGCTTTTCAAAATTATGCCGTATTCTTGGTCTGTTATATAAGTTTCTTTTTAAAAGCATTTTCTAAGTGGCAATGTTTTGTTTTACTTATTACACTGATGTCTAAAATACTATATCGATATATTATTTCTGTTTTAGAAAACACGTAAGTTGATTGTTTATTATGATAATAGTATATTGCACCCAGAAATAAACTTTTTTTTTTTTTTAAATTATACTCTTGTGCACAGTGATTTTGTTTTTGTTTTGCATATTCTAGGCTTCAGCTGGAAACAGATTTGAAGATAGAAAAAGAGTGGCGGCAAACCTTAGAGGATGATCTTCAAAAGGAAAAGGAAACTGTATCTCAGCTGAGAATAGAGACCCAAGAAATAATTAACCTTAAAAAAGTAAATTCTGCAGTAAAACTTGACTAATAATTTAGAAATTGACTGCAAAGATAATTACGGACTTAGGAATGGTATTTTTAAGAATTTCTGCAAGTAGGTAAGAAAGGATAAAATAAGATTAAGAAAAGATTAAGACTAAGAAAAAACCAGATTTTTTTGCTTCCCATTTAGTCCTCAGGTCAGAACTCAATTCTTAGAAAACACAATCCTTGTTTTCCTTTCTCAGTTTTATTGAAGACTCTGTCTTCTTATTGCAGGCCAGAAAGTGCTTTGGCCTCTCTCTGCTTTGGCTATATAGAGTTGTTGATCTCTGCCATCAATTGTTTTTATTTTCTTCCTGGAAAGGACTGCAGTAGCAAAAATGCTTCATTTCTCAGGGTCTAAGAGGGCTTAATCCTGAGTTGTTGCTGTTCAAATTGGATTTGGGAATCTTAATGGAGTCAGTGATGGATCATTCATTCATTTGGCTTTCTTGGCAAGATCAGTTTTGGGTAGTAGCATTTTTCTAGGCAGTAGGCAAATACAATTTAGAGAATAATTGGGGTTTTTTGTTTGTTTTGTTTTTTGTTTTAAGGAGTTCCTTAAACTTCAGGAAAAGAACAAGCAACTGAGAAGGATATGTCAAGACCAAGAAGCTGCTCTCCAAGAACTGGCGTCCAAGCTGAGCGAGTAATTCCATTATTCATGATGATGATTATTTTTGTCATATAAACTTGAATTAGGAAAAATAATAGGACGGTGGTCATGTGAATTAGACTGTATACAACAGTAGTACCTAGCCAGTTATCAAAAAGAAATATGTCTACTTAGATCAGGTCTATTTATTTTTGGCTGGTGGGCTAGCTGTAAACTCATGGGTAATTCTAGTGCTCTGAACAGAAAATCCTGGTTTGAAAGGGCCTGGGGGCATTAGGAGTTGTTTTGTGTTGAAAATGCTGGGCTAGTTTGCATGTTGTGGCATTCCTAAAGAAGCAGCTAAGTAGAAGAGAACAGCTCTGTCCCCAGCAGGACAGTGCTTGTCATTCTGTGAGGACACACGCTCATGGATTCCTTTCTTTAAGAGATGACGATTCTCTCTAGGAGCATCATAGGACATTGTTACTAAATCTAAGGGATTACCTTATCATAACCCTTCCAGACTATAGTGAGCAAGAAGCTCTAAACACAGTTCTCGTCACTGTTATGTGTTGTTAAAGTTTCATTTAATGATCTCTGTCTTCCAAGTAGTTTTGCTGTGACTTTCATGTCCTATAAAATAACTTAGTACATGTGCTGTGACTCAGTTCTGAGTGGGTTGGCACTGCATGCCTGGGGGGAGGCAGGTTTCTCCGTAATGGCATGATGTGGTCTTGTACAAGACCAGAAGTTTAAATTCTGGTTTTGTACCAGTGCTGCATGCTAGCTTTAGGTATCTGCACAGAGCTATGCTGGTACAAATTTCTCTTATCCACATAACCCCAAGCAAATTTACAGCCATTCGAAGGATTCTGAGCTCTTTGGAGAGAGCTTAGTATAATGCTTATTACAGCAGGGTGTGATACTGATTGCATCTCCTGGATGCTGCTGTAATACAAAATACTAAGTCAGGGAACTTTGCTTATAATTTTTAAGTAGCTGCTCTTAAAGTTGTTTGACCATAACTGACAATATAGGAGTTTGAAATAGCATTATCTTATTCTTTAGATCAAAGCTGAAAATAGAAGATATAAAAGAAGCGAACAAAGCGTTGCAGGTTAGTAGTATTTGGAGGAAAGTGTAACTTTCTTTTTTGACTGTTCCCTTTGAAATATTTTGCAAGCGTGAGAAGGCTTCTCTCCCAACAGCAACTATTCAGGAGAGATTCCTATGACTTCCTCCAGTGGGAGAGAACCACAGACTCCCTGTAACCTCATGAGGAAAACACTCACTTTTGATTTTTCTTCTTTGATGTACAGCTGTGCATTTTGACACTTTTCATGCAATGGTACACGCTTCTATATTTTACAGAGTGTAACTGGGACAGACTCTGTAGCCAAACGAGCATCAATTACATACTCCTCAGTGATCAGTTGTAAGTGATCAACCTGGGAATTAAGTAAACTTGTAGTACCAAAGCTGATAAAAGATGATCTGTAATGTCGAGAGGTTTGGAACTTTCTTAAAGGTGTGCAGGAAGCACTTGAGAGCAGAGATTTTGTCTTCACATGTTCAATCATGTGGTATGTCACCTTGCGTATTATTTCAGTCCAAGTAAAGGTGTCTGAAGTGGTTTGTTGAGCAGATTCCTGTTTTAATAATTGGTTTAGACTGAAGGAAATTGTCAGTTCTTGACACTGTCCTGGGTTTTTTTGCTTCCCTGCATCTTGGGTACTGTTCCTATGTGATGGGCAGGGAAACAGGCTTCATCTCTGAGACTTGGATACCTTTCTGCTTTTCCCAGCTCAGCCATTGACTCGCTTTACTACCTTGAGCATGTTCTCTTTGCATCTATTCCTGCTCCGTCTTGTTTCATAAGGTTTTGGAGTGTTTTGGAGAGTCTTGTACTGCTTTAGAATGTCTTTCTTGCCATTGTACTGGTCTCAGAGCATTAAACAATTCAGGCAGCAGATGTACTGCTATTGATTTGTCTTGTCCCCTGGAACCCAAAGTTTAACTTCATCGCATACATATAGTTATGACAGTTTTTGTCTCCAGGGCCAGGTGTGGTTGAAGGACAAAGAGGCTACACATTGCAAGTTATGTGAAAAGGAATTTTCTCTTTCCAAAAGGAAGGTAAAACTTTAATGACATTTCTTTCAACTTGTTTACATGTATTATGAGAAAAACATTAATTATCTTAGAAGTGTGGCATGAAATGTCATCGCTCAGATGAATGCATAGTTATTTTTGAGATTTCTTTCTAGCTTTTTGATGTATACAATGCAGCTGGGCCCTCATTTTGAAAGAAACACTGCCTTTTGGTGAAATGCCACAAAGGAATGTACTTAAAAATTATTCAACCTACGTTATGGAATCATCATCTCAAATGCTTGTCGGCTCTGGCACTGTTACAATTTAACACATGAGAAAGTATTTTTGTGTCATTTTTTATACAACACACTAAGAAATGTTGAGCTTATTGTAATTTTCAAGTAAAATATGTTAATTTCCATGCTGTATTAATGCATGTAGGATTTTTAATTTTACTTTTTAATGTTAAATTTCAATGAGCTACCTGACAGAATCATCCACTGTCTTGAATATGCTTATGTTATATTTTTATATAGCAGAATATGTTCTTAATCCAGGGATTCAATAAAATTTGCAAAACATATATAAATATATATGGTCCTAGGCAGACCATATATCTGTCTACGGTGCCACCATGGTCTGTCTAGGATTACATCACAGGTTGGGGTATGATGAGTTATCTTTGGAGAATTGATTCCATGCTTAGACTAAAGAAGTGGAAGGAATCACATTTTGTTTGTTCTGTGTATATTGTTTATTGGTATCCAATTATCAAGTGCATTTCCATTGTAAATTTTAATTTTTAATCTTCTCCCCATTATTTAGCATCACTGTAGAAACTGTGGTGAGATCTTCTGTAATGCCTGTTCTGACAATGAACTGCCTCTGCCTTCTTCACCAAAGCCTGTTCGGGTCTGTGATTCCTGCCATGCAATACTTATACAGAGGTGCTCCTCTAACGTGCCATGAGATTATTTTGCAAGATATTTATTACCTTTTGGTATTTAGTTAATCCTGTAAAAAAAACCCCAAACAAAAGCCAAACAACTAAGGAATGTACAGCAGTATTTCCAGAAGTTCAGGTAAGCAGTTTAGAGTTACATTTTCAAGGTACTATGGAGGAGTTACTTGTCTACTTCTTGTTGAAACAGAGAACATGGGACCCAAACATAGAAAATGCATGTGTTCAAAATACAGGTGACAATGGCTCAGAAGCTCTTTTGGAGGAAGCAGGGCAGCTTGTAACATGTATTTGATGAGTATTTTAGTTATGATGATCTTGAAAAAGGTGATACACTTACCGGCTTTTACAGGCTAGTCTGCAACAAGTCCAACCTAATTCTGCTGCAGAATGTGCCTGTGATACTCTGTTGTGAAGCAAAACCGTGTGGTAGCTAGTTTTAAATGGTATTTAAAAAAAAAAATAATGCAGTTAATGCAGTGGTCCAATAAGTTATTGCCAAATACTTGTTTACTTCCCCTCAGTTGTCAAGATTTGATACATCCAAGAATATTGCACTGACAGCTCTGTTGTTTATAGTCACAGGTGTAAGGGCAGGTGACAGTGCCTCTAGGCACTTGATGAAGAAAGGTGCATTTTGCTGAACTGTTTTTTTTTAAATTAACTGTTAATTTGACCTATCTGTATTTCCACTGAGAGATGTGCATCACAAAATTTTTGCCTGACATTGTGTGTAACCTCGAACAAATACCTTTGCATTACTTATCATGTAAGTCACACTTTCCAGCTTGTACCTGTAGTCACTGTATAGCTCTAGCAGCTGAGTGAGCCTGCCACCAGGACAGACTGGGGTTAAATACTGGGGACTGCATCCCTTCTATGTGGGACAGGAAGGGTCTTCCTCATTTTGTCAGCATCTTTCTCAGACTTTCAGAGAAAGACAATGACAAAACTTCCAAAACTTAGATTCTTTGTTTTCTGGAGCACTTTGAGTATGTCTGGGTCTGACCACTCTTCACACTGACGGTAACTTCTGCTGGAATGTAAATCCTCATCCTTCCCGCTGGCAGGTATCAATACATCCTTTGATAAATTGTCCTCACTTCCACGTCACTGCACCAGAACCAATCTACCCTCTTCCCTGTAGTCTCTGCACGTGCCATGGGTCTGGCCGTGGGGCTTCCACTCTCTGGCCAGCACTGACAGGCCTGGTAGTTCTTTCAGCTGTGGGCTTGGAATATTCTAACAGGAAAAGGGAGGCTTGGAAACAGGCCTTTTAATTGTTGTTGCACTTTGTTTAGCTTAGCTTTGTCTTTTGAGGATAGGCATTTAGTTAATATTCAAAAAGCTAATACAACTGTTCTTTTTAACACCTCAGTGTAGTTGCTTATGTAGCTTTTGTAAAGAAAAATGGTTTTTAAATTACCTGATGTAACTTTTTGTAAAATACAAAACAAATACTTGTAAATCTGTAAATAGCTTTTGGGAACAAATAAATTTAATTGATCCGCAACTTAACTATGGGAATAATGTCACTTTATTTAAATTTGTAATTCAGAGTATTTTGAGTATTTTATTATGACTTGTTCCAGTTGCTCAGAAGGTCTTTGCATACGCTGGGAGTGGAGAGGTGCCCTGCTGAGGACAGAACAAACCTAGCACTGCTCACATGCCTCCTGAAAGCATTTGCTGGGGAGCTTCAGGTGGGGTGGGCATGGAGGCAGCAGGGTTTGGTCTAGGATAGAGACGATGCTTATCTGTACTGCTTTAATAAAAAAGTCTTCAAAAAGTATGCAACTAAAAATTAATTTTAAAATAGATAATATAGGAGTATACTGCATTTAACATGCAATAAATTAAATTTCTGTCACGTAACTGCCATCTTTTCCTCCCCTCTGTGCTGCCCTATTTGGATACAGTTGTGTACAGTAATTCAGATTGCTGCTTCTTACTCCAGGTGGAACTTCTGCCTTGAACAGAAGGGTGAATACTGTATGTTCTGTGTGGTTTTATTTCCCTTAGCATCAAACTACGTCACTGGCCTGCTTTTAGCAGTTTTTTGGAGCACGCTGTCATTAATTCTCTGTCTTTCTGTAAAACCCTGTTCTTTGACAGATTGTGATTCTAAACCGTCCTCACACTGCGCACAGGAAGAGCTGTGGGGCACCGACTCCATCAAAAGAAACTGTCACTGCTCTGGCCCTCTGAGAGCAGCCGTTTGTGTTTCCTGGGCAATGGCTTCTGATCCGACCAGCCGGGGCATTAGCGAGGAAACGTCCTCTGCCCCCGCGCTGGGGACGCAGCAGCTCTGCCCACAGAAGTGCTTCGCTTACCCTGCGCGGCCCCTCCTGCTCCTCACAGCAACCGGGTGTACAGGGGCTGCGCTGGTTCCTCCCTGACCGAGCCATCTTTGTTCATAGGTTTTCTTCTCAAACCCAACTCCTCTGCAGTTTAAACACTTCAGCAGCTGGGACGGCTCAGGGCTGAGCGCCGCTCTGGTGACAGGGTGCAGCGTCGCTGTGGAAGGGCCAGGCCCGGGTGCAGCGGGACTTCGCTCCCCAACTCGGGTTTCAGTGTACTTTTTGCAGATGGCTTGGTGATACGCAGCGGCTCCAAGCAGAGCTCCCAGCCTGCTCTCACAAGGTAAGGCTGAAACCGGTGGCAAAGCGCACCCCAGGGCCGACGGTGTTTTATAGGCACCCGCAGAACCCTTGGGGCAGATCCCTGCCAGGTGTTTTCCTCCAGTGGGGTTTACCCTTGTCCCGAGCCCTGCCATCTCAGTTTCTCCGAACACCTCAGCTTTTTCAGCAGCAGACCCAGAACCCACTGCTCCGCAGGAGCACCAGGTTACAGCCAGGCCCTCTGAGGTCCAGGTCTCCTTTTCCCTCCCCGTCCGAACCACAGCTCTCCCAGTTCTCAGCCCTTCTCCTGCGCCCCTCGCTCACCCTGCCGCTAGCATTTCCAGGCACTGGGACACAGGAACACGCTCTCTAGTGAAATAAACTCCATTCTCCTCTCTCCCACAAGAAGACATTTATTACAGATATAACACAGCACTAGCAAACAGGTGACAGACTTTCAATACCCAAGATCACATTTGACATCGTAAGGGAGGCATTGAGGACAAAGCAGTTAATTTGGGAGATCACACTGGCTCAGAAGAATAAATACCTTTTTCATTACACATCAGGTATGGTAAGTGTCTTCAAACAATAGTTTCTTACATATCTCACGTCACAAATGCACAAAATGTTTTAGCAAGGTGTTTGGGTTGCGTGTTATTTAACAACTCTTGGGCTTAAGAGGTCTTTTAGATACTTTGCTTCTAATGAACTTGGCCATAGAACAACTCATCAATTTCTGAACAAGTACAGACAAAGCAGCTCTGTGCAGCTGAATCAGGTTTAAACAGAAATTTCATGACAGAAGTCTTAACCTGCTTCCAAATCCCTCTCCTCTTCCCACTTTTCAAAAGCAGTGTTTGTGGAAAAAAAGACTAAGGAGATGACAGCTTCAAATTAACTCATACTGTCCTATTTCATAAGAGCTAAAAGCTATGCTAGTGACTTGCAAGTTAGAGGTGTGAAACGCAGGATCTACCTGGATTCCACAGCAAAGCCTGGAAACAGGTCACTGCTGGGGCTGGGGGAGGCCCAAAGGCCTTTAGCCCCCCGCCCAGCTCGGGGCAGACAGGGCAGCACAGGAAGAAAAGCCAGGCCAAGGACTCGGAGCCTCCACAGCTTTATGCCATGGTGAGAAATTGTTACATACAACTTACCAAAAGGGTTTAGGAAAGATTGTTACCAAATAAACTAATCTATTCGTCTACCTTTTTCCCCTTAAGTGGATTTTGCAAACTCATTCACTACACCAAAATTACATAGAACTGAATCAGTGTTCAGAGGAGTTACAGTACAACCACCTTTATTGAACCATAGTACAACATCTTAAACCGACTGTGGTCTTGAATATGTAATACATCCTTAGGAGTAACTAGTATAAAAAGTATCAACATCAGTGGTTTGAATATAAAAATTTATTTAAAGTCAGAGTATGCAACAAATAAAACCTACAGAAAACAGATTTTCCCATCACAATCTGTTGCTTACCAAATAATATTGTGAAAACACATTCCTTCAGTCATTATAAAGTTCTTAAAATACAAAAGAAATTAAATTTTGTAAGAAAGTCTAGTAGACCAGCGACTGTTTCTTCCAGGATGGTTTGTGGAGCAAGGCTACCCCTTCAATACATCCCACGCCATCCTCCTCCACCCATACTGCCTTGCCCATAGTATCCTCCACTATTTCCACTGCCACGACCTGCAAACAATTGACACAAGGTCACGCATACATACCTTAAAAAAAGAAAAAATGTGATGGGTAATACAGAACAGTCGGTTGAAGATGACTTAACTTCCACTATTTTTCTAAACAAGCGTTTGCTGCAGCAGCAAAACGCATAACCCCCTCCCCCACCCCGTGGTTTAAGTT